GTGTCTTGTGTACATTAATTACATAATTATTTTATTGATAAAATATATATATTTTATTTATCCAACAATATACTATACAAAAAAAACGTTTAAAACTTTAGTTTTTATACAGGTAACTGTGATTTTAAAACAAAAGATACAAAAAATATAACATGAATAAAAACGAAAAGAAGATGATGTGAGATATTTAAAGAATGATTTTTGAACTTTAAAGGTTGTTAAAAAATAAATGTCTTATTTGAGAAATTCTGACTTTTAACGTTTTTTTAAATGCTTTCATAGTCAATTTACCAATCACCCATTAATGCAATTAAAATAATTTTTGTTGGAAAAAGTAATGCTTCTAACCACAACTCTCGAAAGAAAACCATACTCCACCACAAATTGTATATCCAGAAAAATAGAATCACCTCACCAATGAATCCATGTAAAAAATAAAAATCACAGCAAATCGACAAATTAAATAGGACACAAATACAATCAAACATCAATAATTCATTCTTTATGATTCAAATTTTTAATGAAATAAACAGAAATATGCATTCCAAGTTCCAACACTTCTGTTGAGATGATGCAAATGTTTTGGTAGAAGGAAAGCATACTATAAGTTCTCTGGTTAATATATTTTTATAAACGTATTTGATGAAGAAAAAAAAGACAAGCAATCATTATTTTATAGAAAACTGTAATGAATATTGATAAAAACATACATGTTAAAGATTTGTGTCAAAAAATACGTTTTCCATATGTTGTAACGGTCTATTTGATTTGGTTCAACATATTGTATATTTTAATGATTTGGTTTTGGAAGCAAATTGAATAAATATTTTAAAAATATAGGGATTTGTTTATCATTTTTTAATAAGTTTTAAGACCTAATTATTAAACAATAATATATTCTTCTTCTCTAATCATCACCGTAACCTAAAAAGGTAGAAGAATCGAAGAGATAAGCAAGGTATATTTTTCAATTACAGTAGATTTGTTATTGATTATTGAAATCGTGAAGTCGTATTGATTATTGTTCGAGTCGGATTGGATTTGTGTTGCTTCAAATATTTTAAAACCATTAATATATTTTGTTTCATG